AGGAGGGAGCCTTGGGTCCCCTGACAGCCAGTACCCACTGGGGACAGAGGTTTCCACTTGTGAAAAATCCACAAGACTGGAACTGACTCTTGGTTTCTTGCCAGGGGCCAGGTGAGAGACTGATTTCTGCCAGATGGAACGATGGGGCCTGCCTTTAGAGGCTGACTCTTGGGGCGGGAACAGGCCTGATGCTCAGATCTTGCCCTGAGCAGGAGAAGCACAGGCTACTATTCTGGGAGGGACACTGCTGCCTTGGAGTTAGTGGATAAGCCCTGGTTCCCCATCCCAACAGGGTCAGGGAGCCCGTCCCCTGCCCCTTACAGGAGGGTGCTGGCCAGCCAGCTCAGCATCCAGAGATCCAACCAGCCCCCATGCAATCCTCCATTCCTTCTAGACAGCCAGGCCTCTGCAAAGAATCATATAGGAAGGAATAGAAAGTGCTAGCAGTCTCCTCTGCCCACAGGTGTCTGTTTTGTCCCTGGAGCCACATTTTCCCCCTGAAGCCAGGCCTGCCTGGGAATAGCCAGGTCCTGTGCCTTAGACAGGGTGGAGGCCACTCTGAGTCAGCATGGAGTGGGCAGGGGTATTCAGGAAAGACAGCCTTAAGGAGGGGTCCAAGCTCTAGTCTAAACTCCAAAGCACCTGTCAGTCGCCTCAGAAGGAGGTGGATGGGCTGAATGCCTAGACTAGTCCGTGCTGCCTCATTGGTTTTTAGGACTCTTGGGCTGCTATAGCGGACTTGGATCCTGGAAGTCCCCAGAGAACCCTGTCCAACCCTGGAAAAAAGGAGCTGAGGGGTACAGGGGTGCACTTGGGGCCATGGCCCAAGGGGAGCTCCAGAACCTTGTCTCCTGCCACGGAGTGCCTTGCTGTTGGCTCCTGCTCTGCCCAGGGAAGGACAGGATGACTGCTCAAGCTCCCCCCAGGCCACCTCCCGGGGGACTCTGCCATCTCTCACACACAGCCCCTCTGTCCCAGGGAGCACCCACTGGGGTATTCAGACTTCATAGGAGGCCAGGACCCAGGGCTAGGAGAACTGTATACCCAGGACTCTGGTTCTCACAGCACGCATCTGGACAGCATCTGGCCCTCACAGGTGTGCAGCCTTGCAACCCCCTGGTGCAGCCCCACTTCGTGGGAGAGCACTGAGGACTGACTGAGTGTCTCGGCCGGTACACAGCGTGGAATAGCCTTGCTGTGTCCCCTGGGGTCCTTATTCTGCCACCTGCAGGGCCAGCCGGTCCCCCTTGATGGCCTCCTGGCTCACCGCTCCTCCCCATCTTTAAAAGCCTCTTCTGCGCTGTGGGGACCCTCAGGATACAGAGCCGTGCCTGGAACTGGAAGGCCGCTCGCACGAGTGTTTGCGAGATGAATATGAGAGGTAATGAGTAAGTGAGCAGGCGGTTGGATGGATAGCTGAGCGAGTGAGCAGGGGAAATGAGAATGAATGAAAGTGACTGGTGAATAGACCGTTGAATACCTGGGTGAATGAGAGGGTGAGCTGGTGAATCAGTGAGTAAGTGGGTGTATGAGAGGGCAAAGGAGTGAAGAGTAAGTGCAGAGGCCGGGCTTCCCAGCATGGGTGTCCTGGGAGGATGAAGCTCCTAGGGGCGGAGGGCAGTTCCTGGGGGGAGAGTGACAGGCGAGCCATTCTGGCTGCCGTAACAAAGTTCCTCATGCAGCTTTGCCTACCAGAACTCTTCTTCATGTGGAGGCTGGTCTACCAGCCAGCACGCTCTAGGAGAGGAGCCTCCTGGCCTTGTATGGCTCCTGGTGGTCCTAGACTCTATCTTCCCCGTGTGTCCCTGTGTCCTCTTGTGGCATCCTTCACGCCCAACTGCAGGCTGACCCCATCATGGCCATGCACTGTCATCTGCAGTCTTACACCCCAGTCCTGTCTAGCAGAGGTGCGAGGGAAATCTGTCCCATCCATCTCCTTCTGAATTGGAATTGGGTGCTGGAATCTCAAGACATTATGGGGGTAGCTGGGACAGAGCTGGCCTTAGACCCAAAGCACTATGGGAGTTTGTGGGCTCTCCTGGCCCCCACCCTCGGTAGTCAGGCCTAACCCAGTCTTGGATGCATCCCAGGACCCTAAGGGCTCCTGAGCTTTGACTTCAGGGGTCTAACTGCCTGTGACTTGCATCTGTGCCAGACTCCCCAGAGGTGGGACAAATGACCTGTCGCTTAGGGCAAACAAAAACTAAGCCTCTGGGTATAACTCCAGTTCAAGGGGATCTGATGCCCTCTTCTGGCCTCCACGGGCACTGGGCACGTATGTGGTACACATACATACATGGAAGGGAAAACATTCATACATTCATACCGAAAATAAAAATAGATATTTTTTAAAAGATCTTAAAATCACCCTGGAAACATCTCTGGGCTTGTCTGCATGGAATTATCTAGGTTATGTTTAGGTGGGAAGACGCACCTTAACTGTGGGTGGTACCATTCATAGGCTAGAGTCCTGGACAGGAGGACTGAGTAAAACGGAGAAAGGGAGATGAATACCAGCACTCATTACACTTTGCTCCCTGACTGTGGACAAGATGTGTCCAGTCACCTCCCTGCTCCTGCCTCCATCCCTCCTCCACCCCATGATGGACTGTAGCTCCTGGGACGATGAGCCCAAACAAATCCATCTTCCATCGGTTGTTTTCATGGATATTTTTCCACAGCAATGCAATAGGTAACCAGTACATTCTATGATGTTGACAAGGTGGCTACGCTGTGGGATGGCCCATGGGTGATGGCCGGAACCTGCTTCAACTCAACACTTTTCATGCCTGTCCCCTCCGTGAGTCTGGGCCTCCGAGGTCTCTTGTGGAATCTGCTGTAGAATACCAGCTGATATTGAAGGTGGGTAGAGTCGACCCCATGGCAGGGGACACTGTAGAGTGTAGGGACGCTCCAGACACTGTCTGCCCACGGAAAGTCCTTATTTTAAAATATTGTCTTATTCACTGTGTTGTACATTGAACATTAAATAGCTGGTCTGATTTAAGACTTTAAAAATATATTTTATTTATTTTTAATGTGTATGAGTATATTGCCTGCATGTATGTAAAGTGCACCCGTGTCAAGCTGTGCCCACGGAGGTCAGAAGAAGGTGTCAGATTCCCTGGAACTGGAGTTACTGAAGGTTGTTAGCTACCATGTGGGTGCTGGGAATCTAACCCAAGTCCTCTGTAAGAACGGCCAATGCTCTAACCACTGAGCCATCTCTCCAGCGCTTGATTTAAGGCTTATAAGAACCATCTACGACTAGATTGCCCTCTATTTTTATTCAGTCTGATGTCTTTTCTGCCTTTCTGAAGTTCCCAGTTGCCTTCTGCAATTTTCCCCTTTGTATTTAGAGAATTTGCTTTGGTATGGATGACACATGTGTAAAGGAACATCAACTTGTATATGCCTGGGAAAATACCATTGTTTTCTTTAAAAGGTGTGGGATGGGGTGGGCGTGAGGTTGCTAGGAAGACAGCTCAGTTGGTAAAGTGCTTGCTGTGCACAAGCCTGATAACTCAAGTTGGGCCCCAGACTCACCTAAAAAGTCAGGCATGGTTGAGACCTGAGAGATGGCTCAGCAGCTAAGAGCACTTGCTGCTCTTGCAGAGGACCCGGGTTCGATTCCTGGCACCCACATGCCCTCTACTGGCCTCCATGGGCACCAGGCCCACACGTAGCACACATACATACATGCAGGCAAACTCATACACATAAAATAAAAATAAATCTTTAAAAAGTCAGGCACAGAGACATGCATTGATGATTCCGGGGTTTGATGGGCAGCCAGCCTAAGCCTCACCTGCGAGCTTCAGGCCAACAAATGACTCTGTCTCAAAACACAACATGCATGACACATGAGGTTGATGTCTGGCTTCCTCATGCACCTATACATATGAACACACACATGCTCGCGCGCGCGCGCACACACACACACACACACGACAGGGAATGGGGCGGGGGATCGTGGTGTAAGAATTTCTTGGTATTTTCCATTTCTTTGCCAATAATATTTTGGCAGAATTCCACCAAAGGTTTGTGGAAATTCCTTTCCTGCATCAGTTACTCAACCATTACTTTATTGATGGCTATTTGTTTCCAACACTTTGCCCCCAAACAATGACGCTATGAAAGTGAAGTGAACCAACCCCCCTGGGGTGTGGGGAACCAGGACTGAGCTGCTGATTTCCAGATTCCTGGCCAGCCCCTCGTGCAGAGGGTAGAGGCGTCATGCTGCTGCCTGGCCAGGACCTCCAGGTGAGGTTCCTTGACCCCTTGGGGCACGGCGGCATTCCTACGCCCTTCAGCCTCCCTACTGACAGTGGCCCGTCTCTCGGCCCTGCCCTTAAGATGCAGAGTCCCAGCTCCACTGAATAGAGCCTCTAGCCTCCAGCTCAGGCTCTGCTTTCAGAACCCGCTTTGTAGCAGGACAGCGAGGGGCTCTTTCCAGAGAAGGGCAGGGGAAGGGCATAGATAGAAAACCAACAGAGCTGGAAGTGATTCTGCTAGGGGCCCAGAGAGATGGTTCAGTCCGTCAAGTGCTTGCCGCACAAGTTTGAAGACCTGAGTTTGATCCCCAATACACAAGTAAAAAGCCAGGTGTGATACCACACTGTACTGGGAGGGAGTAGACAGGAGACTGTGGATCTCACTGACCAGCCAGCCTAGCCTAATTGGCAAGGCTTAGCGAGAGACTCAGTGAGTCTCAAAAAAACAAGACGATGCTCCTGAGGTGGGACACTGGAGGTTGACCTCTGGCATCCACATGTACACACATACACACCCCCCACACACACCACACACACTTACCCAAAAGCACACCTGTGCACATACACAAGAAATGATTCTGCTCTTACAGAAAATGAGCCCAGCCTGATGCAATCCAGTGCTCCACCACTGTCTTTTATTGACTTGGTGCTAAAGGCATGGATCAGCTCACTTCCTATGGGTGTCCCTCACAAGAGACACTGTGGCGGCCCGGTGTACAGCATCCTTCAGAAGCAGCGTCTCTGGACCACAGACGGCCCGAACTCCTTGAAGTCCGAAGCAGAGACCCACATCTGTCTAAAGCTGCTCAGAGAGGTGACGATGGAGGCTCCAATCCAGGTGGAGAACCAGCGGTCAGGGGGTGTGGTGATCTTGATGGGGACCCCCTTGGAGGCCAGCTGTTCCAGTTCCCTCAGGAGTCGGTCTTCTAGCCCCTGGAACAGTGTGGTACCCCCTGACAGCACAATCTCCCCAAAGAGTGTCTTCTGGATGTCAGTGTCACACTTGGCAATGCTGTTGTTCACCATCTGTGCCATCCCTGGACCACAGGTGCCCAGCTGCTCTGGTGAGAACAGGACCTCGGGAGCCTGGTACAGCTGGTCCCCAATGTAAATAACATTGCCATCGGGCAGTTTGTACTCCCTCAGGACGTCTTCTGCCCGCCGGGAGAGCTCCTCTTCTGGTTCCAGGGCCACGTAGCACAGCTTCTCTTTGATGTCATCCACCAGAGCCTTGTCCAGTGGGCATGGGAAGGCTCGCCCACTGGCCAGGAGGAGCCGAGTGAGAAGCTCCGTAATATCCTTGCCTGCCACGTAGAGTTTACTAACTGCATGGGGCAGGGAGTAACCCTCAAAGATGGGGACAGTGCAGGTGACCCCATGCCCACTGTCCACTACCAGGCCTGTGATACAAGCGGAGGCATAGAGCGCCAGCACGGCCTGGTCTGACAAGTAGAAGGCAGGCGCGTCGAAGCTCTCAAACACCACCTCTGCTGTCTTCTCCCGGTTCTCCCTTGGGTTCAGGGAGGGCTCTGTCATGAGCACTGGTTGTTCACTGGGCTTCACACCCAGCTCCCATTCAAAGAGGTGTCTCCATATCTTCTCCATGTCATCCCAGTTCGTGACCAGGCCCCGCTCGATAGGGGAGTTCAGGCGCAGGGCATCATGTTTATACAGGGCCTCTTCCCCCACAAAGTACTTCTTCCGATTGGCTCCTGTTGAGGGCACCTTGAACCTTGGGTGCCCCACAATGGAGGTAGTAACATGACGAGGGCCGATCTCCCCAGACAGCCCTGCCTTGCAGAGCCCAGAGCCATTGTCAAAAATCACAGCAGGAGAGTCTAGAACCTGTGGGTTAGACATGTCTACAGCAGTTCCTTCTGAGTGGTACCAAAATGCCACTGAGTCTTCCCAGGTCACTTTGTGTCACAATAGATTTTTCTGGACGTTCACAGGATTCCAGGGCTTCTGGAGGTCTCCCGGGCATGGCTAGCAGGCTAACCAAGTAGCCAAGAATGCTCCATCCTGTCTGGTGGCCTGCTTTCCTCTCAGGGGGCCCTGGCCTGCCAGACCTTTTCAGGAGTGACTATCCCATAGGTAATAATCCAGCTGAGGTAACAATTGTCCTTGGTGGGTGTCAGAGCCCCGGGGCGGGGCTCTGAAGGGTGAGATACTAAGGAGAAAAAGTCTTGGGGGGAACCTCACATCATTGGAGCCCTCAGTGTCAGGATGAAGTAGCCCGAGGGCACCTGCCTCCTCAGCCCCCGAGGTACCACGCATGGGATGTTGACAGTTCCCTTGCCCAGGTTGGAGGGTGATGTCCACCAGCCTGTCCAGCACACCCTGAGAACATTTCTTTTTAAGTGCATATTCCTTCAGAGAGAATTTCAAGCATGTCTCCTCCCTCTAATTGAGTCTGGCTCTCTTGTCCTACAGACCCCTCCTGGTACTCAGGCCCCTCCCTGATCCAGATTAGGACTCTCCCTCTCCCCTCCCCTCCCCTCTCCTCTCCTCCTCCCTTCTCTCACCTGAGGTGTCCAGGAATAATATCTAGAGATTCCCACAGGGTTGGGAACCCTAAATGCTCATGCCGATATGGCCCCACTGGAGACACCTGTTCTGGCCTCAGACACACAGAACCACGTTTCTGGGCTCTGATGCCCTGCTTGGCATTCAGATTAAGAAAGGGGCTGGAGCTTGGGCACAGCTTTCCTTTTCCCTGAGGACAGACGCGGTCTTGCAAACTTCAGTCAACTGTTCTCATCGTGTGCAAATCACATTCAAGGGAGCTGCTTCCTCCATCCAAAATATTCTCCCAGAGCACAGCCTCCCAGGGGTCACACTCCTCTGAGAGCCCAGGCTTCTTATGCCCAGGGGTCCTTTACATCCTGCTGATCCACCAGCAGGCATTAATTACTAAGACCACTTGCCACAGAGTTGTGGTTCAGATGCATGGTGTACACATGGTATGATGTGTGATGTAGACACTTGTGTGTAAGTGGGCTGAGGAGTCACAGTGTAAATGTGTGATGGATATGTATCGTTTGTGGGTACCACCAAGCCCTAGGGGTGTCAGGAAAACAACTGGTGATTGTTAGAGGCGCTGCCTCAAAGGACCCCCCAGAAGAAACCCATCACAGGTAGAAAATGAGGACACAGATCATTACTGCTCTATAAACTGGAGTCACCATGCCAGTTCCATTGCTGCATGAAGACTACCAGCAGGTGGTTGCCTCACACCCTAGTCCCACTAAGACTATGAGATAGACCAGGCACATACAGGCCCTCCTAGTGACCCATAGTGGACCAGGGGCCTGAAGGAGGTAATGAACAGAAGTCCCAGGGCACACACACCATGCAGTGCTCAGGCTGTGTTCCTTTTTTTTTTTTTTTTTTTAAAACTTTAAAAAGAATTTATTTACTTTTATTTTTTGTGTATGTGTGTATTGCCTGCATGTAGGTAAGTGCACCCGCAGAGCTCAGAAGAGGCTGTTGGATCCCCTGGGACTGAAGTTAGGACAGTTGTTAGCTGCCATGTGGGTGCTGGGATTCGAACCCGGGTCTTCTGCAAGAACCGCCAGTGTTCTTAACTGCTGAGCCATCTCTCCAGCCCCTCAGGCTATGTTCCTGAACGACATCCTGGCCCCAGAGCAGGGCCTTCCACAGAGGTCACATGCTCAGTCGGTGTAGTCCTCAGACAAAGGCTTTGTCAAGGGTTGCGAACTCCTTGGTGAGGGTGCCCTGCTGGGCTGGGCACCCACCTACCCAGTACTAGTGGACACCATGCTGATCCAGGAGGGTGATGGGACTACTCAGCAACAGTGTGCCCTGCCTGGATCAGGCCCATTCTGTCCTGAGTCAGACAAGGCAGACTTGGCCCTAAAAGGAACCCCAGTGACCATGACCACTGAGCAGGCCATGTCCTCTACCCACACCCAGCTTTAAATAGCCTGTTCATCCACTTTTGTACCTGGGAAGCTAAGACTTGGGGTTCCACATTTTGGTGAGTGTATCCCTGTCTGGCTGCTGTGGGGATGGGGGGGCAGAGTGCCATGGGGTTCCATCCTGCTTGCATCACAAAAGTCTGTATGCTCAGTTCTCAGGTGATGCCTGGCTTTCTCAGTGTTACCCAACACTCTATGCCAAATCCAGATAAGCGCCAAAGCTTTCTAGATGTGAATATGGTCTGTGGTGGGAGGGGCTGAAGCAGTGCTTGGGGCAGAGAACTCTCGGGAGTGTGCCCATGGACAGGGGCCAGCTGAGGTTCTGGCATTCCTGGGAAGGGCAGAGGAGAGAAAGCTAGGACCACCTCCTTTCACGTGGGTGTCATGGGGTGCTGAGGCTCCCCGGCACCTGCCCGAGATAACAATATCCCAGAAGCCATCAGACTCTTACACAAGGGTAGATGATGGGCAGCTCAGCCTGGCCTCCTCCCGAGGCCAGGCTTCCTCCTCAGACTCCAAGTTAGATCCGGGCCATCTGATCTGCGTCTGTTCCAGCTGCTCTCAATTCTCTCTCTCTCTCTCCCTCTCCCCGAAGGTGTGTATGGGAACACATGTACATGTGGGTGGTTGCACGTGGCCTCAGGGTTTTTCCTCCTCGGGCGCCATCCACCTTGTATTTTAGAGACAAAGTCTCTCACTGACCTGGCACTTAGCAAGTAGGCTAAACTGGTTGGCCAGTGAACCCCAGGAATCTACCTGTCCACACTGCCCCCAGAACTAAGATTGTAAGTGTGTACCACCATGCCCAATTTTCTACAAGGGTTCTGGGGATTGAATTCCGGTCCTCAGGAACGCCAGCTGAGCTAGCACCTTGGCTCCTCTAGGTCCTTTGCTGTCCCCTGCAGGCCCCTTGCTTACAAAAAGACAAACGTGTAGCCTGGAATAAGCTGCTCAAGGAGCAGGGGCAGCGCTGGCTGATGCCACATGCGTGTATACCGCCCCTTTTCTCTGGGTGTTTTTGCTCTTCCTTCTGGTCTGGGTTATGGTTCCACCTCCTCCCCATTACACGATAGTGGTGACTGTCAGGGTGCCACACACCCAGCTGAGTGGCCCCAGGAACAGCCATCATTTCGTCTACGTGGGACAGTCTCACAGCCAACAGTAGACCTTTGTGAGGCACCAGATGTTGGATTCCAGGAATGAGGCTAGCTCATTATTTCCAGGTTTACTGTTGGAACTCAGAGCCTACAGGGCAAGGCCCAGCCCAGAGCCTGGTAGTGTTTTAGCAAACGTTCTGTCATGACACTAGGGTCTAACTAGGCCAAAGACAAAAGGAACAGGAAGGCTCGTAGATCCTGCCACATAGAAGTCAAGGACACCCCCTGGCAGGGACATCACAAGACTATTGAAAAACCAGGTGACTTATGAACGTGATGTCAGACTGGTTTGGAGCTGCCCAGGGACACAATTCCGAACTCTTTTCAGGGTCTGAGACCTTCCTCAACCCTCTTTAGGATCCTTGATGTGATATGTGCTACCACTTTGGAAACACCTTGACTCTGAGCCCTGGGGTCTGTATGTCTTAGAGGGGTCTTATGGGTTGTGTGCACCTCAGTATGGCTGAGACCCTTGTGTCCCTGTCACTGCAAGAATATGGTGCTAATAGGACAGAAACTTTCAGTAGCTAGCCAGCAGTACAGTTTCAGGGAGCAGCCACAGAGAGGGTGTGTTTGCCATTAACAGGGAGACCTCTCCTCTCCCGGCTCCAATTAGAAGCTGCCTGAGTCTGCCGCCCCTACCCTAAGCCGGCCAAGCCTCATAAATCGCATGAACAAGTTTATGGGAGAACTGGCTGTAACTCCATCCCCCGCGGCAGGCAGGGCATACCAGTGATCATTCTGGAGGGCCACTGTTTCCGCCCCCATCCAGTGAGACGCACTCTTGTTCGTCCTCCGCTGCACGCACCCAGTGGTGGTCCCCTCTTGTTTCTATGTGACCCCTACCACTTCATGGGGATGTTTAAGGTCATGGTGGGAAGTTGGCAGGTCCTGGGACACCTGGGAAGGTGCCAGGCATTCAGATAAGGAAGTGAATAGCCCTGTACCTGTTGGGGACCCCTTCTGTCCTCCAGCCTTTATTGAAGTGCCTGAGCCCTGCCCCCCCAAGCCCTGGGACACGCCTCTCTGTCCCAACATCCCTGGTTCCAACTGTCACTAGGGCCCAGAACCTCAGCCAATTAGTGACCAACAGACTAGGCTCATTAGTGCTGGCCGACATCTGGTGTCCAGATCCTCTTGCAGAGAGAACAGTCCACACATCAGCAGCCTAAAGGAGCAGGCTGACCCTTCAGATGGCAGGGTGTACACTATTCTTGAAAGAGAGAGGAAGAATGCTGTCTGAGGAGCTGGCAAGGAGTCTGGGACCATAAGTACCTCTAGAGATGACTACTTTCCCCCTCCCTGTTCTGGGCACCCCCAGAAGGGCCTAGACCCTGAGCATGCTCCCTAGCAGCTAAGCCCTTCTGAGTCTCTTGAGATGCAACTGGCATTCACTTACTCATCCATTTATCCACACATACACCTGTCTATCCACCCATCCATCCATCCATCTATCATCCATCCATTCATCCATCCATCCACTCATCCATCTATCGATTTACCCACCCATATACCCACCCACTTACCTTTACATTCATCTACCTATTCATCCATCTACCCATCATCCATCCATCTATTCACCCATCTGTTCCCCCATCTATCCATCCACCCATCTATCTACTCATCCACCTACCCATCCACCCATCTATCCATCCATTCACCCACCCACCTATCTACCTGCCTATCTACCTACATTCTTCTACCTATTCACCCATCCATCCATCTATTCACTCATGTGTCCACTATCTATCCATGCATTTGC